ACTTGGAGGCCTATTAATGAACAGCCGCTATTAGCTATTACGGCTATGCACCAGGTCTGATTTTAATCCACGACTCAAAGAGATGTAGTCTCGCACTCGTAGTTGCACTGGGCTTTACAACTGTATGTACCCTTCAAAGTTCCAGGGTTCATTCATACATACTAATATCCGTTTGCGTGAACTTATAAACGTACTAATGTTTAGTTAGACGAAGATTCATTATGGATGCATGCACATATCCGCACAATCATATCTACAGTACATATGTGTCCGTGTATAAGTACATTTGCCTTACGCCACGTAATTTTAATTTTATTTCATTGATTTATTTTCCGAGGTTTGGCCGTATATGATATTTGAATGTGTGGTAATTATGGAATGTGCAGTAGTTCCCAGACCGTCACCAATAAACACATATGTACATAAACACACATTCATATCTGCATAAATACAAAATAATCTATAAGCCAATATGTCTGAATGAACACATTTACGTTTCTACCAACAAATCGCACGGAAATACCCGTATTGAGTAGAGCGTTTAAAAGGATCGGAATTGACCTTGGAAGAACACCTGTCAGGGGACGTAAAACTTTAAATTGTTAATTAATTCCTGGGAATCAAACAATGTGTGGTTTAAGTTAAAGGCATTCAAAAACTCAGCGAATTGAAAGGAAATTTATTCAGAAACAACAAACACCTTAATTTAAATAATGTTCATAATTTATGCCAGAATCTACATAGAACTAACATACGTACATATACATACATATATACACTTGTAAATAGTCAAATAATAATAAATGAGCCCGGATTAGGTGCGAGCCTTCTTAGCAGAACCATGTTCCGGTTATATCTAAAATCAAATCTTTAGATATTCGGCTCTTAGTACGTCTGCTAAATCTTTTGTTTATAGAGCCTCAGTAAGCTTCCATAGAATAATGTTTATCTCTCAGGTCTATGCAAAAAGTTTTGGACAATGGATTAAAAACGTTTCACGAAGAAATTGAAACCACAAAGGATCTACATATTTTAAGTCTTCAGGGAATTTTTCGATTACACCTGGTTTGCTGTTTAAATCTTAGGTATTCCCTTTAAAAGATATGTTCTCTGTATTACACAAAGGTATAGTATAAATATAACATATGCTCGAGTATGTGTAGATAAAACAAAACAAACTCAGACTTTCTTTAAATAAAACTCTCTTAACCTTGAATACTTTTTGTTGTAGCGCAGAAATAGCTTTCCGAAACTACTATAAGATTTTGGAGACACGGTCCCTGAGCACAGCTTTTTTACTTTGGAATCAGATTTTACTCTATACAAAAACAAATTTTCGAGAAGTATGCAAAGTGCTTCCATCACTGAGGGCGGAAAAGATACTTGTAGATTCGCAACTCACATACGAGTATCTCAGCGCATATGTGGAGAGTAAAATACGCTTTTTTGTAATATTATTTATATTTAGGATGCAATAAAGGTTAGTTATATTTACAAGCCTTACATTATAAGATTGCTGCATGGGCAGCAAGAACCAGCTGCATAACTAATGTAACCATATCTGGTGTGGAAATATCCGTTGTCTATTTCGAGATAAAATCACTAGATAAGGTTTTTCTTTTAGAAACACATTCATATCAAGCTCATATCACCTCACGTAAGTATATATATATGACACGTCATACACACGTGCATACGTGCCATACTTATGCATATACGAGTATATACATACATACATCTAATGGGTATATGGCACTAGATTTATCGTAACTGAATGAATGACACCAGATTTTCGCTAATTCCGAGGTATTTGAATACTAAATCTCTAGTTTTGATCTACAAATGTATGTAAAATGATAATTTTTTTAGCATTCCTGTTTTTTAGCTCTTACTTTGGCATGCCTCGAAAAAGAGTGCAAGCGAATTTGAAAGTAATTAATTTCATGAATCACGATCCTACGAAAATGGCGGAGCCGCTGTCTGCGTAAAAGCTAAATTTTAATTGATTAGAGGCCAATGCTTGATTTTTCTGCGGTTTTTCGGAACTACATAATTTAGCCGCGAAAAACCCAGTTCAAGTGTATGGGTGTATAAGATATGTATGCGTGAATATATGGTATAGACATATGTATGTCATAAATTGAAAATACATGCGCATTGTTGGTATGAAGAAAGGCACAGTACAGCGTTTAAAAAAGATCGCAAAAGTTCGACTTTATGGTGGAAAGTATGACATCATTTTCGGCTGCCTGAGTGTGTGCAGAAAGAGTTTATAAGTATGTATGAAGTGCCACGAAATATGCGTACACTCACTTCTACATATTAGTAGTTATGACGATCCACTCTTCCGAAAAGTGCAGTGGGCATATTTCTTAAAAATTCTTGTAAAATCCAATAGCGAAAAGTTAGCCTCACTTATTGGTAAGTTGTTGATCAAGTGGCTTTCGTCAATATGGTCGCACATCGGCAGGCAATTGCAAATTTCTGAGTACTTAAAAAGGTGCTCATACAGTAGGTATTCTGAATATCGGAAGAGAAGTACCATCGAAAACTTAGCGAAGTTGTTAAGAAAGGCCGTCACTAGCTGGAATCATTTTATTTCTAATAACAAGTAAAACTCAGCTTTCTATAAAATAATAAATCGAGATTTTTTTCTGCTGCTTTAAGAACTCTATACACAGGTATATATAGGGTATATTTGTTCACATTATTTGTATTATTAATATAGCTGCAGTTTATAAACTCTACACCTCCCATAATCTTTACCTTTCTGAAAACTCCGCTTCAATAGCACTTAAAAGCACCATTTGTTATCCGGCCATTGGAGATACTTTTCAATTAAGATTATAGCTCAATGTCTGGGGATATTTCAAGGCTGTGTATGTATTTTTTTTTAAACCTCTATCACTATGCAGACGTACTTATGCAAAAATAAATATAAACACTTGTGCGTATATGCAACGTATGTATGTACGTGGATGTAAATTCTTGTGGACCAATTTATTAACCGCGCATCACGAAGTATTTGCACCGTATGACAATATTTTGTAGACGTAACTTTTTTTGAATCACAACTGGCGGTTGGTAATAGTATAAAATATAATACTACACTGTTTTTTGATTGTGTGCTTGTATGCACATGGCATATCTGTGTTAATTGCTACGGTGCACCACTATGATTTTTATATAAAATCTTACAATAATTAATACGTACATGTATGCACAAAATTGCACTTGCATTCAGTTCTAACAAAATCATTAATTCGTAGTAATATTTTTGTGGTTATTTTGTATATTTTTTCTTCTATGTTAATATGTATTTCGCTTTTGCAATTGTTTCACTTCACAACCGTATATTTGTAAGCTCGTGTGCATGTATGTTAGGTACAATATTTTGAGGTCGATGTCGTGTTTTGGATTAGTTGTTGACAATTGTCCGAAAAATATAAAAAAAAATAATTAAGAAATTAACCGACGAACCATTAACGGCGAATAAAATCACAATCAAGTCCACAACACATCCAAGCGCTTTGAGACTTCCGCGGCAACTGAAACTTCTTTCAATTCGTAACAATGAGTAAAAACATAAAATAAATGCAAAATATTGTGTACATACCTGCGTGAGCTTGTTTGTATATATTAAAAACGATTGTATAAAAGCAACATATAAGCGAATACATAAAGACTAAACCAACACTGGGCGATTGTAGAAAACAATAAAGGTAACTCATGCAATTCGACATGCGACTCATACAGGGTGCCAAAATAGCTCGTCGACTTTTTGTCACCATTTTTGCCGGAAATGTGCAACCATAGCTTTAATTATATGGTCAGTGGTGGGAGATTGTTGCTTTGAGATATGTAACTGTCACTGAAACTTACGACACGACTTCCCAAAAGTCAATATGTTTCAGCCAATAGCCATCGGGAATATGTTAAAAAGCTTCGATACTATAGTTATAAATATTTAGGCACTTTCGCCAATTTTGATATCCTAATCGTTGAAGCCAAAGAGCTGTCATATTGTCACGAATTGGTTCATGAATTTATGTTTCGTACACAGAATGCTTTACCCTGTATTCTAAAGCTAAGTTATTTAGAGAACCACTTCGTTAACGGGGAGTTGTATTACAAGTAAACTAGCATAAACGCAACGATAAAAGCGATAGCGAGTGCTCGTACATAGAATATGAATGTGTATTTGTGTATGCAGTCGGAAAGCTACTGTTGCGTTTGGAGGCGGACGAAGTGTTTCGCGTTGATGATGCGAGAGCCAACATGAGCATGCTGCCTGCCGAGAACGCGAGTGCACGAGTACTCGCCACTTAATTCTCAGCATAGCAATCGCTTTTGTGACTAAAAGTGATTTTCCCGTAACAAATGATTTTATTCATTTACTTGGAGGTGACTGTTTTTCAGGGGAGTTGGGTTTAATTTCTATTATTTATTTGAACGTCGTTTAATTAACCATTAATACACACATATGTTTGTAATAATTGTGATCATCATGTTCATCATTTATCAAGATATTCAACATCATTTATGTACAAGTATCTATCGAAGTCGGGATTATAACGTTTGCAGGGTGGCGTTTTAAAATTCTATTTAAAATACGTTTTTTTATAGCTGAGAAATTACTATTAAACTGCAAAAAAGTTCAGCTTAACAAAAAGCCTAAAAGGATGCACCACATTTTGAATTGTCTAATCACAGTATATATTCAATTAAATGTTCATGCCGCAGAAGAAATATATAAATTGAGCTTTATACTTCCTCGAATAACTGATTTAATTTAATTTTGAGTATTTGATAATAGACACGCAATCAATACTAACTATTGAGTATATTGTGTGGAATAAAAGTAGTTTGGGTTTAAAAAACTGTTGCCAACAATCTTAATGTTGTATGTGAGTGTAAAACACTTCCGAAAAGGGGAAGAAGATCTAAAAACTTCAAAACCAAGAAAGTAAAATATATAAATTGACTTATAAATGCTTTCATTTAATTTAATGGACATTTTTTTAACATTAACGTTTTTTATTTGTCTTTTTCAACATAGTAATTGAAAATCAGCACGCAACTCTCTGATAATCCGAGTACAAACAAATCTAAGCCAACTAGTAATGTAATAACTGTTAAAAGATGTTAACATCGATAATAAATAAAGGTGTGTTAGGTACTAAGGTTAAAGTGTCATCATCTATTCTTAAAAAATTAAAAGTTTTTACATTAAATTTTCACACTTTAAAAATTAAAATGATATCAAGATGAAAGTTATATTTTTATCGTATATTATATTTTTAAAATATGCATTTCAAATTAAATTATGAGTAAAAAATTAGTGGATTTTACAAAGATATTTCGAATATCTGGCTTATGTATACTATGTGATTTTCAATATATATGTATATGTATGTACATATGCATAAAAAATTGTAATCATTTACTTTTGTGATATTTGAAAAACACTATAAAATTCGTAGAATTTGTAATCTACATATCGTTACCATCGACATCGCTTGGCTTTAAGTGTTTCAATTCAGCTTCAAAAACTAAATTACAAATTTTCCTTTTAAGATGTACTTGTTCGTGATGTGAAAGCTTCTTAACTGTTTTAGCCATACTTAAAAAAAATAAATCCATATCATCATGTCCGTTTGTTTCCACCACAATGGATCGCTTTGTGTTTTGTACCTTTGAACAGTAATTATTACGTACTGAATTTCTCGTGGACTTTAAATTTTCTCTTACTGATATAGAAGAGTTATTCGATGTTTCCATATTCTCATCATTATAACTAATATTTTTTTCCACATTGTCATCGCTACCACTTATAGTATCGAAATTGTTATCATTGCACGAAGATTTGCAATCTTTGCGTGATTTGTGGTTTTTCTGAGAAATCAGAAGCGACATTCCATGATCACTTTTTATTTTTTTCGCTGGAATAAAAAAATTGAAGAACTTCACCAGATAGATTTCATTTAAGCCAAGTGAGCTATGGCGTGAGCCTTCTTATACATAAGTACATGCGTTACTAGTTCAATGTTAAGTATGCATACCGTTAGAGTAGTCAATGTCCATGGAGTCGCGGGGGCCATTTTCATACTCAGTTATTAACGAATCCATCTCATCATAATGCTCCCAAAGCGATGGTATACCTGTAGATCTGACTTCAATGCGTTCCCTTCTACAATAATGGGTATGTCCTTCCATTTAGAAAATTAATGCAGAACTTTATATATATGTACATATGTATGTACATAAATAAACATTTAAAAAATTACCGGTACTTCGAAGTCATATTGTGCATCTTTGTCTTCATTTCTATTAAGCTGTATTTAAAACCCTGTAACTCCATTTCCACAACAATTTCCATCAAAATGTGACTGTTTTTCTTGCAAGCACGTTCATCCAAGTTCTCCCTCCATAACTGAAGGAATAACTTCTCGCTATCTTCTGTCCATCTATTGCGCCGCTTAATATCTTTAAACAAAATAAACATTATACTTCGTAAATAATTTAAATTATTTTTAATAACAATATTCACTCGTCTTTACATCCTCTCCATCATCTTTATACAGCTTACAATAAATCGACTTTGAAGACATATTGCCTACAGCATTTGAAACAACTCATTACTCTTTAATTACATTTACAGTAATTTAATCAGAATTCGGTGATTTATGCACTTGTATGAACGCCTTCTAAACTTGTTTTATTAACTTTTTAGCAAAGAGCAGAAAACGATAGTTCGTCGTTAATCGTTAGTTATCGATATGTGGCGATATAAATAATATACAAAGGATGGCTGCTTCTGATTGCATACAACAATCGGATATATTTAACTAGAATGGAACTGAACATTTATCCGGCTTAGAATTGTCAACTTTGCAATTTACCAAATTCAATGAATATCTGGAAAAAATTTAGAGAACTCTAACCGCTGCTCTCCTTAAGAATAGTTTATGTTATGTGGCAAAATAAATTCGCTTAAAATTATGAATTTGTATTTCTATCACACATCTTTTCAACCTCATGGAATTTCAAAAATAAACTTATATCTCAAGCATGCCTGCTCAACGTCATTTCTCAACTGATTTTATCAAGATAACAAAGAACCACTCAAAAATATTGCCAAAAATCGTTTTGTCTGGGAAAAATAAAGTGTTCATATGAAACTGTCACTTACATTAAGCCACAGCATTTTTATTGACGTTCAATTTCTTGAAGTAATCTGGCAGGCTTGTGTGTAAGGTAAGGAAATGTGGGGGAATTTGTTGTACCGCCTGGTTTTATTTTTTGTGAAGTAATAGAGATAAAAAATCGGCTGCATAGCGAATACAATTTACGTTTTGCGAACAAATATAACGCAAATTAATTTGCAAAAAAAAATTGAAGTCATCAAGAGTGAAGTATAAATCATAGCTATTGACTTGAGAACTTCAAATGAAAAATTTGTCGTCGGCAGATAGGGCGAAATACGATTGGAAACAAAAGGTATATTCCGCGTAAAAGAAAATCAGAAAATAAGCGAACGGAACAAAGCAAAAACGTGACAACGACGAAATAGCAACCGTTTTAAACGTCGACATCGTCACAACAACAAAGATTTCGTAGGTCATCTCGAAGAAAACGACGGAGAAGGTGACAGAAACTTTTTCGATTGCATTAATAGGTACGGGGTGTAAATCGGAAAGAAGAGCAACGACGTGGTTTGTATTTTGCGCAAGAGGAATAACCAAATCAAACACGCAACCAAGGAAAAAGGAGAACTAACCATAAAACAAAACAAAAATTGTGAAGTAGTTATCAAAGCGTTTAATCATTCCGCTACTGCAATGAGTGTAGACGCATATGGGCCTAGTTCGCAGACTTTGACATTTTTGGATACAGAGGAGAATGACTTGATTGGCGCTGATACGCAGGCATCAGAATTCGATTTTCGCGACTTCACGTTGCCTTCTCAATCCCAAACACAAGCCTCTCAATTGGAGGGTATTGGTGGGAATACAACACAGGTAAATATTTAAGTCTATTCAATTAGATTTAGCTGCAAACATGTTCTCTTCAATATCCAGAGCAAATTGAATGTACTAACAAACAATTTGGCGGAGTTGCAATTTGAAGAGGAAGATGACGATACGTCTATATTAGCGGTGAAAGAACTTCCTAATCATGCCTGCAAATATTGTGGCATTCACGACCCTGGCACAGTAGTTATGTGTAATAACTGTAAAAAATGGTTTTGCAATGGAAGGGGTAGCACATCCGGATCACATATAGTTAATCATTTGGTGCGCGCCAAGCATCGAGAGGTGACACTTCATTCTGAAGGTCCTCTTGGCGAAACTGTACTCGAGTGTTATTCATGTGGTGTTCGTAATGTTTTTGTTTTAGGATTTATCCCTGCTAAAGCGGATTCAGTAGTTGTACTATTGTGTCGGTAAGTCGAATATTCGAAGCGGAATCGATTTTTTTAAAATCAAATTTCCCTATATTTATTGTTGTTTTGCAGTCAACCATGTGCTGCACAAAATTCTTTGAAAGATATGAATTGGGATCAAGATCAATGGAAACCTTTGATAACGGATCGCTCTTTTTTACCATGGCTGGTAAAGGTACCCACCGAGCAAGAACAATTACGCGCTCGTCAAATATCTGCAGCTCAAATAAATAAATTGGAAGAATTGTGGAAAGAGAATATTGATGCAACGTTTCAAGATCTTGAGAAACCTGGAATTGATACGGAACCATCTCAAGTGCTCCTTCGATACGAAGATGGTTACCAATATGAAAAGGTTTTCGGACCTTTGGTACGATTAGAAGCGGAATATGATAAGAAGTTGAAGGAATCCCAAACACAAGAAGGCATAGAAGTGCGTTGGGATGTTGGCTTGAACAAGAAAACCATCGCCTATTTTACATTAGCTAAAACTGATTCTGATATGAAACTAATGCATGGTGATGAATTAAGATTGCGTTACGTTGGAGAGCTGCATAAGCCATGGAACGAAATTGGTCACGTTATAAAAGTACCTGACAATTATGGCGAAGATGTCGGGTTGGAGCTAAAGTCCTCAGCAGGTGCACCAGTTAAATGTACCTCTAACTTTGCCGTTGATTTTATTTGGAAATGCACATCATTTGATCGAATGACCCGGGCACTTAAAGTATTTGCTATGGATCGCAGTTCAGTGTCTAATTACATATACGCTCGGCTTCTTGGACATGGCAGACATGATGGCAGTGATGAACTCCTATTTCGAGGTCCCATACCAAAACTTTTTAGTGCTCCGAACTTACCCGATTTGAATCGTTCCCAAGTTTATGCTGTTAAACACGCATTGCAACGACCATTAAGTCTAATTCAAGGTAAATAAAGTTTATTTTTGATATGTTTAAAAAAAGTTACACCTATATATTCTATTTAGGTCCACCGGGTACAGGAAAAACCGTCACCTCGGCCACAATAGTATATCAATTAGTGAAACAACATGGAGGCACCGTGCTCGTATGTGCACCGAGTAACACAGCAGTAGACCAACTTACGGAAAAAATTCATCGCACTAACTTAAAAGTAGTTCGCCTCTGCGCTAAGTCTCGAGAAGCAATCGATAGTCCTGTCAGCTTCCTAGCTTTACATAATCAAATTCGTAATATGGAAACCAATATAGAATTAAAGAAGTTGCAACAACTCAAAGACGAGACAGGCGAGTTGAGTTCTGCTGATGAAAAGCGATACCGTACTTTGAAACGAGCCGCTGAGCATCAATTACTCGAAGCTGCTGATGTTATTTGTTGCACCTGCGTAAGCGCCGGTGACGTGCGTCTAGCACGTATAAAATTCACTTCTATCCTCATAGATGAATCCATGCAGTCCACTGAGCCAGAATGCATGGTACCAGTTGTTTTGGGAGCGAAACAGTTGATACTTGTCGGAGATCACTGTCAGTTGGGTCCAGTTGTGATGTGCAAGAAAGCAGCCAGAGCTGGTCTATCGCAGAGCTTGTTCGAACGTCTAGTAGTTTTGGGTATCCGCCCCTTTCGACTGGAAGTCCAGTATCGAATGCATCCAGAATTGTCACAATTCCCCTCAAACTTCTTTTATGAAGGCTCGCTGCAGAACGGCGTTTGTGCTGAAGATCGCAAACTAAAGATTGACTTTCCTTGGCCACAGCCTGATAGGCCGATGTTTTTCCTTGTTACCCAAGGACAAGAGGAAATTGCGGGCTCGGGAACATCCTATCTGAATCGTACGGAAGCAGCAAATGTAGAAAAAATAACTACACGATTTCTCAAGGCTGGCGTCAAGCCAGAACAGATTGGTATCATTACGCCGTACGAGGGCCAACGAGCTTACTTGGTTCAATACATGCAATATCAGGGAAGTTTGCACTCCAGACTATATCAGGAAATTGAGATTGCTAGCGTCGATGCTTTCCAGGGCAGAGAAAAAGACATAATAATAATGTCATGTGTGCGATCTAATGAGCGTCAAGGTAAGTAAGATCAAAAAAGTGGTAATGATTTTTATTGTATCTTAACATGTCTGAACCTCGAACATAGGTATCGGTTTCCTCAATGATCCACGGCGTTTGAATGTCGCATTAACTCGCTCAAAATATGGCACTATCATTGTGGGCAATCCTAAAGTTTTGTCCAAGCAACCGCTTTGGAATCATTTACTTAATTTCTACAAAGATCGCAAAGTCTTGGTTGAGGGCTCGTTGAACAACCTAAAGGAGTCGCTAATACAATTTCAAAAGCCCAAAAAGATTGTCAATACGCTAAATATGGGCGCTCACTTTATGACCACAATGATGGCTGATGCTAAGGAAGCCATGATTCCCGGCTCCATTTACGATCGATCCGGGCAATATGGTTATTCATCTGGCCCGATTAACGCGTCCAACTATGGTACTAGTGGTCTTGGCTTGGGATTGGGGTATGGCGGTAGCAACAACTTAGGTTACGGTAGCGGCGCAGCAGCTGCACAAATGCAAGCAGCAGCAGCTCAGAATTTGAACAATTTTATGAGCGGCAATTTTGGCGCTATCGGTGCCCGAAACAGCGGCCCAAGTGCAACGGTAAATCAAGCAGCTGCTAATGCGCACCAATGGAACCATCACCACGATTCGATCAGCTACATTTCGCCAGAACGCGCCCAAGCAGCAATGAATAACATGCCAGTCCCGGTTGGTATGTTCATGAACATGAGCAATATTCCACCGCGCTTCTACAACCAACACCAACAGGCGATACAAGCCGCGGCGAAACAAGGTCGCCGAACTGGTGCCGGCCTGGGAGCTACCGGTATTGCTATAAACAACAGTGGCAGTGGCAGCGGCAGTGGCAATGGTGTCAGCAAGCTATTTAATAATTTCAATTCTTCGCTTGCTGGTGTTGCTAATAAAAATCAAAATGTTAAAAGTCGTAACAGCATGCAAGCTCCTAATACTACAACGCCAACAACAACTACCGCCAACGATATTGCTAGTGTTCTGATTGGCGCTGGTTCCACATCATCGCAGAACAATGCCTTGCCCCTCACCCAACAAAATATGTCACAACAGATGAGTCAACCAGGGGGCTTTACATTGTCACAACAGCCCGAGCTGTCACAGGATTTTGGTCAAATTTCGCAAATAGATAGCATACTTTCTCAAGATGTAAATTTTACCGCGGTGAGCATGCAACTTTTAATATGCAGACTTTACTCAAACATTACCATTAACGGATTTGTTTTTGTTTTTTTTTTTTTGTTGCAGAGCAATCTCACCACTGATAGGATGAAATTCGGCCTGAACAGTCAGAGTCAATTCTCGCAGCCTTATTGATATAACGGTTGATTCCAACTACAAAAGCAAAAGCAGCAGCAGTCAGTTAAACCAACAATTCATATCAAACAAATACAAACTTTTTGATGTAACGAAAGAGAACAAAGAAGACAAGAAGCGTGCACACAAAAAACTGCAGAAACAGCAGCCACAGATCTCTGATCGCATGGATAGAAACGAACTGAAACGGAGTTACGAGGGATAAAAAGAGAATATTCCGTTTAAGCTACCCAAATCACAAAAGGATGCAATTTCAATCAGC